TGTTATTATTCTGAAACAGACGAGAGCTCATCTATAGTGAAGTTCATCATCGACTGTGAATATAATCACACGGCCCCGAGTTTCGTGAAAAGTGTTGTGCGTAATCTCTGTAATCTCCTTGGTGATGAGAGTATCCACGCCGACAGTGTACACGGCGAGAGCGGAGGCACAGCAGTGTTTGTACAGATGTCTGCAAAGGCTCATGCAAGGCTCTGGGAGTTCTGTAAGGATCAATCTAGCCTGCTCGCTGGTCTGCACATTCTCGAAGTGTCAACTGTGGACGGAGCAGTAGTCTTCAATTTCCGTCCCACGGCATGCAGTGGCGAAGGTAAGACGGATTGATGCAGTAGGAAAATACTAGGAATGCACCGATTGCAGCGAGTCAACTCCTAAGCGTTAGTCCCATATATACAGCGAGTCAACTCCTATTAAAGCGTTAGTTCCATGATGATAGGGAAGTCAGTGAACTCCTAAGCGTTAGTTCCATGATGATAGGGAAGTCAGTGAACTCCTAAGCGTTAGTTCCATGATGATAGGGAGGTCATCACTAGTCAACAGACGACTGGCTGTCGTCTGGGAAAGTGGTTGGTGAAAGGCATGTTTCGGTCCATGATGTTTGTCTGCATACAAGTTTTCTAGGAGATTCTTTTGACAGAACGAAGTAGTACTGTAAATATACAAAATTTCGGCGTTGCAAAATTTCGGCACTTCACGATTTTTGACATTTCGGCGGCGATTTATTTTCGGCGTGGGGTAGAGGACATGGTATTGCGACAGATGCTGTGAAAAATTTCATCGGCGTTTTAATTTAGGCGTTTTGGGTCGGTGCCGAATATAGCCGAAATTAAATAGCTGCCGAAAATTTTGTATATTTACAGTATTCACAACCAAACAGTTTCCTTGATATGCTTCAAATTTATGTCTGGAGCAAAATGTCCGAAACTCTTTGCTTTCTTGTTCAGGTATTACTCCTGATGACCAGAAACGCTTGGTTGAAGAGTTCTCCGGGAGATTTCCATCCTTGGACCGAGGTGAGCTGTCTTTTGCTGTGGCTGATCAACCGGATGTTGAGCATGCAGTGATTGCAGCGACTAAGCTCGTCTTCGATGAAGGCGGAGCATGCTTGAATGCACTTCCTGAGATTCTTGGTGGTGAGTTTCAATACCATTGTTTTGTGGTTGTGTTGCGTGTACTTTGTCTATTGGGCCCTGCTGTCTATGTTGCGAACCATTGTGCACGAGTGACAGTATTTACATCGTGGTATAAAATCACACATGCCATATTATCATTTTGGCAATGTCACTGGGACCACAATGAAGAGAAATGGCGCGTATTGCCGCATCGGAATAATCGGAGGCCGGTTTGGTGCATAATTATATTGATGAACTTGTGGTCCTTCAAAAAAGCCTCCCTTTGTACTGATCTTCTCCAGGCCATTGTGCTGCAAGTAGAATTTTCAGCAAGTCTGTGGAGGGTATTCCCCTATAAAGGTGATGTGTGTGTGGGGGGGGGGGGGGGAGGGAGCATATGAATCTCATGCATCTTTGCACCAGCAACGTCACTCACTGTTATGTGGTACTCACAGAAGCATTTTTACGATGTGATCCGCAATGCGTCGGCCTCGAAACCTGGAAATTCCCAAAACGCACCGATCGCGCAGCTCACTCAGCCGTCACAACTGGCCCATCGCAGAAGTAGAGCTTGCCACTGCTTGGCTCAACTTCTGCCGTGTGACATGCGATGTGATGTCCGGTTTTGACCTTCGCGACAAAGGTGTACGAAAAGGTTCAAGAGTTGCTTGTAGATTTGTACAAGCTGTACCCGACTACACCAACGCCACAGTGACGTACACATTTGCATTGCCGAGCTCTGAGGCACGTCAGCACGGCATCGTTGCATCGCTGACTTCTTCTGTGAATGGTAATTTGTGAGTTTGCATCGCACGGCGGCGTCGCAGATCACTTCGTATCGCACATAGCATTGCAAGAATGCTTCTGTGAATCCCACCTAAGACATAAGGAAAACAAGTGACCCTGCAGTCGTAAAATTATGCTTTGTCTTTCCCTTTCCGGTCTTTCTTAGGTGTGGCGACAAGAAAGGCAACTTCGACCTCTGCTCACGTTGATCGTAAGTACACCAATATGGCTGTGATGAAGCATTGATTCATCACAATGCACACGTGTACATATTGTGTGTGTGTGTGTGTGTGTGTGTGTGTGTGTGTGTGTGTGTGTGCGTGCGTGCGTGTGTGTGGTGTGTGTGTGTGTGTGTGTGTGTGTGTGTGTGTGTGTGTGTGTTCGCTAGGCTTAATACACGTGTCTTTCTGGCCTCCGTCATGTCGCTCCGATGGGAATTTCACAGGACCGTCAAATTATCTTGGTTTTTCATTTACATTGTAGTTTCAAGAAAGTGGCACCTCCGAATGTTGCAGCTGATGCTTCTGCCAAATAACTGACACTTGGCTGACCAACAGCTGCTGCCGTCTGGAGCACACAAGAATCACGTCAAGCAAAGAGTGGTACTATCTTGTAGGTTTGCCGAGTGGAAGGTTCGACGTGCTCCTGGTATGCTCTAGACGGCAGTCGTGTGTCAGTCAAGTGTCAAGTCACTGGGTAGGAACGCCAACACTTGTATCTGTCACAAACAACATTTTCTAGCAAGAGAGTTCAGAATTTTGTGTACTACAAAAAAGTGATGTTATCATGACGGTACGGGATGCGACTTCGGGACAATGCAGAGAAATGCCTCAGGCTTGAATCGGTTTTCCTGCCATTCTTTTTAATTTATTATTTTGTCTTCTTTCTTGCAGATCCTGAACGGGCCATTTCAACCCGTGTCTCTGCCAATACTGGACGTGCAGTAGAAATCCAGGGAGCTGACAATGAGCTGTCTCTCCGGCTGCAACCAAGGCCCAAGGTAAGAACAGACCAGATGCACAACATTATAGGTAACGCAAGGACAGATTTAGGTCTGGTCATGTTAGGTGTGGGGGGGGGGGGGGGAGGGGGCATGTACCGCTTGAAACATTTGGCGTGGAGTATGATGCGCGGTTGTATTTCACTGAAATCTGAGAAATGGAGATTTAATGCAATCATATTTGAGCCGTCAGATGCGAAAACCGACGTTATGGGAAAAAATCATATTTGTGTTAGTGGTACTATCTGAAAGCCAGTAGCATCAGGAGCCGTATGCAAAAAACTAGAGTTGATTTGGATCAAGAGAAGTAAAGTTATAGCCTCTGCAGTAGGAGACCGTTACAAATTGCATCTCAATTTTGGATGCAATACCAACAATTGTTTCACCTACTTTGGAGAATATTTCCTGTGTCCTTTGACCGATTTCCACAAACTTGGGCTTTCTGGAAAGCTCTGGCCATGAGCAACCCGTTGGGCCAAAATCCGATAGCAAATAAAGCACAGCACCAGCGCAACAAGCTGCAGACATCTCTTCAGCGCTGGACTTACGCCGTCACATGAAAATCGCTCGCCATTTCCATCTCCAATATCCTGTCCCCGGGGAAAATTGCGATTCCGCGGCCGCGTTTTTTTCCGCGTTTTTTGCGATTTTTTAAAAGATCGCGTTTTCCGCGATTTTCCCCGCGTTTTTTGAACTTTTTTGTTGCACAACACGTACACACATAGTGCACTGTTCGGTCACCAACGTCTCATCGCGGCGGCTTTTTACTCAAATATGACGAGTGCTTACACCAGAGACTTGTAACTGATTGATTTCACTACATACTCACTGAAAATTGCCGCACATCAATATTATTCACCGCATATTTACCGCAAATTCACCGCAAATTATGCCATATTATGCCGCGTTTTTCCCCGCGTTTTTTTGCGATTTTTTCCCGCAATTTTCCCCGGGGACAGAATATTCCAGGGCGTTTTTTCGTGAAGATGCACTGAGAGCTTCCAATACGTCTGAGCCTGTTGCCGAGATCGTAGGTCGCTTGAAAAGGGGGAAACCCCTGGTCTGGATCGTTTGATTTGCACGTAGAAATGCAAAGTGCCGTGACGTATCTTGCAGGCTTCGTAGCTGGGGAACGCAGCATCGTGCCGCGATTGCGGATTCCTTGGAGTTTTCTCTTCGATTTACATACTTGGATTATCCGAAAGACCGATATTTGACTGAAATACGAAGGTTTGTAGCTTGGTTGTCCAGGCGCACCAGTGCGTAAACTCGCCAACTTTCAAGTGCATTTTTCTGCACTGTGCAGTGTTTCCCATAAGGTCGGTTTTCGCATCTGACGGCTCATTTGTAAGAAGAGGTTGCAGCGACTTCAGTGATACTTCAATCTTTATTTCCAATTAAATGTGGGTGGTCAGGATACAACATTATGATTCAGCAAGGGAAAACTACCGAACAGAAAGAAGCCTATGTGAATGTCGCTTACCCATGTCTAACTGTGGAAACAGTTACTTTCATGAACCATTATTACTGCATAGCCAACCTCTTCTAATTCCTCCTCCCCCTCCTCTTCTTCCCCATCCCTGTGCACCCCATGTACTGTTGAAGCAACGAACTGAAATAATAAAAAAACAACCAAACCAACCCCCCCCCCCCCCCTAGTTCCTCATTGTCTAGCATTGTCCAGCTACACTCTCCACTTTATATTTATTTTAGCAAAAGACACAATGCACAATATTCTTCACTATTAGGTATAGTTGCAACTTGCAGTGAGGAGTGGTGTATTTCGCAAGTAGCATACCCTGTCTGAAAACGCCTGCAATATCTTGATCAGAGCTGTGCTGAAAAATGTGCTCCGTCCATTTTTTTAAAATCCTCTATTCCTTTACGTTTTTGATGTTCTGCAGTGGTCTTTTCGTGGCAGTCTACCTGATAGCTGGCAAGGTTTCCATCGTTGTACCATGTACAATGGGCATGCTTACATTGTGTGCCAGGAAGAGAAAGAACTAGTGATCTACCGGTCTACTCATTGTCTCAACGAAAGTCTTACTGTGGCATGGTCAAGAGTAATCGCCATTGACACCCGACTCTTTTTCCTTTGCAAGTCTTTTTGCCTTCACAATGAAAAAATGTACCATGCAAGTAGTGGTTTTTGGGATGGGAGTAGCCCCAATATCTATGTTGTAGATCTACAGGGAAAATGTTGTACTAGAGAAATACAATGCGATTGTATCCCAGTAGATACGAGTATGAATACATCTTTAGAACCTTTTGGGGATGTATTCATAACCCAGTCAGCCCTTCTAATGGTATGCTTATGGCGCAATCATTTCTTAGAAGTTATTTCATTAGATACCAGACATGATGGTGCAGTATGGGCAAAATTGGATCCGCTCAGCATGCCGGAGCCGCCGGACAGCATCTGCAGCACTGACGATACTCTATTTGTGATACCAAGCAGAGACCTCAATGATACGCATTTGTCAATCATGAAGTTGTGTAGCGTGGCCCAAGTGGTTGGGCACACAACAACCAACAAGTCTCACCAGAGCAAGGAGAAGTGGTTGAAGAAATGAAGGATGATCTTTCTTCAGAGACAGAGCTTTTTATATGTGCCAAGACTAAGAGAGTTCAGGTTTCACATAACAACGAGCAACGGTTTAGACCAATCAGGAGATAGAGAGATGGCACAGATTCGGCCAATCAGAAGACATGTATTGGAAGAAAGTAAAGAAAAAAAGGAAAGCTTCTGGAAAAGGTAGGTTCGAACTTCACATGCAAAGGATACTAGTCTTATTACTGTACAGGTTTTAACACACCAAGCTACAGTGACACAGGCACTAGACTACAATGCAACAGGTACAAGGTTGAAGAATCTGCATGCTCTACATGGCCCCCTCCCAGATTGAATCACGTCCTCGTGATAATGTGAATATTGTAAAAATAAAAATGAAACGAAAGAACCCAAGGAAGAAGCTATATAAACTGTGTGTTAAATGCCAACCCAACACTATATCTAAAAAAACTCAAATCTCAATCTCTCAAATCTTCACAAGAAAATTGTACATATCAATTGTTCTTGGCTCTCATTGACGGTATCGCACCGGCCTCTGGAGATTTGCCCGATTGCGTAAGTTATACCCACCTGCCTGTGGCATGATCGGAACGGTCGGCACAACGGGAGCTGCCGGAACAGCCGGGACTGGAACAGCTGGAACTGCCGGAACTGGAATAACCGGAACTGCTGGAACCGGAACAGGCGGAACTGGAATAGCCGGAACTGCGTCTTGCACGTAATCAATTAGCGCCGGTTGAGGTAGGTGTGCTGGCACTGGAGCGTGCTGCTCCTCCGGTACTTGAGTCGTTGACTTGAGCCGGTTGATGTGCACCACCTGGAGTTTCCCTGTATCACAGTGCTCAATCCTGTACACCACGTCATCGATCACCTCGACAACTCGATACGGCCCGGTCCATGGCTTGAGGAACTTCTTTGTGTTGCCTGCTTTCACAGCTGGGTTGTGTAAGCGCACCTTGTCATTGATCGCAAACCGTGGCTTGGTCGTCTTTGCATCATAGTAGTCCTTCTGACGTTTCTGTGCTTTAGCGCCAGCTGATCGAGCGTGAGAAAATGCCTGCTGCAAGGAGATCTCGAGACCAATCATATAGTCAGGTACAGATTTGACATGTTCTCTGGAGTCGTTAAACATAATATCCACTGGCAACTTAAGCTCTCTGCCGAACATCAATCTAGCTGGGGTTTCCTTGGTTGAACTATGTACGCTACTACGATACGCCAGTAAACAGCGTTGAATATGCAGGTCCCAGTCATTGTGATTGGCATTGACTCTGGCACTCAGCATGTTCTCAAGTGTACGATTCATCCGTTCAACTAAACCATCACTAGAAGGATGGTATGGAGTCGTGCGTGTCTTCTTCATATCTAACAGTTCACAGATGGATTTGAACAAATTTGACTCAAATTGCGCAACTTGATCAGTGTGGATAGACAGTGGCACACCGTAGCGACAAATGAAACCATCAATCAGTGCCGAAGCTATTGTCCTAGCAGTCATATCCGGGATGGCAAACGCTTCTACCCACTTCGTGAAATAATCAGTAATCACAACAATGTAGAGGTTACCTCGATTTGTTCTGGGCAGTGGTCCCATGATGTCCATAGCGACACGTTGCAGTGGAAAGGATGGTTGGTCCACCTTCATCGGAGCGCGAGCAGTTGGTGCTGGGGTACGCCTAGCTGAACAAAGCGCACACGCCTTGCAATGCAGCTCAATGTCAGACGACATAAAAGGCCAATAGAATCTAGCTTTCACCTTCTCTAGAGTACGTTCAGTAGCGAGGTGGCCACCACTACACTCATTGTGCATCCCAGTCATTATTCTCTGTCGCAAACTGACAGGTACAACAAGTTGCAGAAATGAGTTGCTACCATCTACTGAAGTGTACGTACGATACAATAAGCCATCTTGCAGAACCAGCCGTTTCCACTGACTCCACAGACGTATCAAGGTTAATGATGCTCCTTTCATAGCACTATCACTGCGTTTAGGCCTGTCTAACAATGCTTGTTGCCAACCAATCATGCAGTCAATGTCACTGTCTTCCGCTTGAGCTCTGCGAATATCTTCTGCACTAAAAAAATCTGCCCAATTGCTTCCAAGTAAATTGCTATCATCATTCGCATGTTCTGCAGGTTGTGATTCAACGTCAACATTACCCACGTATGCTTGATGTCCAGAATCCTGCGTCAATGTATCACCAGCTGCTGTATCCGGAGAGACTGATGGCATGGCTGTAGGGACAGGAATGGAAGACTGGGAAGGACAGACAACAGTAATATTTGGATCCATTACTGAAGGCTCGGCAGTGGCCGATGCAGGATGCTCCGAATTGTCCGCAGGTTGGCTATGGAACCGTGACAATGCATCTGCGTTGGCATGCTGAGTACCTCTACGGTGGACAGTTGTGAAACCGAACGCTTCTAGTTTCTCCAACCATCTCGCCAGGATACCTTCCGAATCCTTGAAAGACTTCAACCAGAGAAGGGCTTTGTGATCGGTTCGCAAGGTAAAGTTTGCACCCAGCAAATAATGTTTGAAGTATTGCACAAAGAAGACCACTGCATACATCTCACGCCGAGTTGTGCCGTAGCGACGTTGGCTCTTACTAAGTGAACTACTAGCATACGCAATTACCTGCTCTCTGCCCTGATCGTCAACCTGCGATAGAGTTGCACCAATACCAGTGTCAGAAGCATCCGTGTCCAGGATAAACTTGCGGGATGGATCCGGGTACGTCAGGACAGGAGATGACGTGAGCTTCTGCTTCAGGATATCGAACGCTTGCTGACACTCATCCGTCCACGAAAAGCTTGCCTGTTTCTGCATTAGCTTGTGTAGCGGTGCTGCAATTGTCGCGAAGTCCTTGATGAACCGCCTGTAGTAGGAAGCAAAACCTACAAATCGACGAACCTCGGTTGCAGAGCTAAGTGGTTTGAGACTGGTGACCGAACTGCAATTCTTGGGATCAGGGCTCACACCACCTCCCTTGAACACATGCCCAAGATACGTAACCGACTTGCTCAGAATCTGGCACTTACGAGGCTTGACCTTCAAACCTGCTGCCCGGAATTTTTCAAACACTAGGCGCAATCTAACCAGATGTTCTTGAAATGTTTTCGAGAAAGTTATGGTGTCATCTATGTACGCTGAACATACGCTTGGCACAAGATCACCCAGAACCATGGTCATCAGGCGCTGGAAAGTTGCTGGGGCATTGCACCACCCAAATGGCATGACTTTCCATTCAAACAATCCAAATGGAGTGACAAATGCTGATTTCGCCCTTGCTGCATTAGTTAGCTCTACCTGCCAGTAACCGGATGCAAGATCTAGGGTTGTGAAATACTGTGCGTCACCCATGTTGTCTATCGCATCATCAATCCGCGGAATGGGGAATGCGTCTCTGACAGTTACAGCATTGAGTTTGCGATAATCGACACATAGTCTAATAGCTCCATCAGGCTTCCGAACAACAACAATAGGGGCTGCCCAAGGACTGTTGGAAGGATCGACTAAACCCTCAGCTAAAAGCTGCTCAACATGTTCACGAACCTCATTGGCATGGTGAAGCGGCAATCGTCTAGGGGCTTGGCGAATAGGCTGGCTGCTAGTGGTCTCGATGTCGTGTTTGGCAACACCGGTAGAGCCAAGATCCATTGCTCCCGTTGAAATTATGTCGCTGAACTCCGAGAGAAGAGACCTGACGGCTGCTGCCTCTTCTGTATCGAGATGACTAAGGTCAAACAACTCAACAGGGTCAGAACACATATCAGCAGCATTACAGCTTTCAGCAGTACAATCACGCTCATCCGCGGCTTCTGCGGCTTTCTCAACAAAGCAAGATTCGAACATGCCAACAACTGTACCCTTGCTTATAGTGACAGGCCGTGGTAGCAGGTTCTGCAACCTGACAGGAACAGTACTGTTCTCACTCACGGTCGTGACCACTCTAGCTGCACTGACACAAAATTTATCTACGAACGACTCTGTTGGCTCTACCATTCCGCAAGATGGAGACATAAACTCAGTGTCACGTAATCTACCTTGCGTTATCAACTGAGAATAGCCCTGTAGAACAACAGATTCAGCCAATTGCACTGGAATGGGGTCTCTTTCCACTCTCTGACATGAAAGGTGCTTGGGCCCAACTCCCTGTGTTAACGGAAGGGTCTGATTGCTCAAGCGCAGACAGCCTTGTCCCAGATCCATAATACAACCGTGCCTACGGAGGAAGTCTATGCCTAATAGTACGTCAGGCTCAATGTTCGCAACTACCATAGTGTGCTGAAGTTGGAGGCTGCCAAACTCTAGCTGCACATCCACCGCTCCTTCCACAGTCACGCCACTGCCATCAACACTTCGGACTGATGTAGAAATTTTGTTTAATTTTATATGCTTATGTTGTTGATAGAATGCTGAGCTGACAAACGAAATCGAACTTCCAGAATCAACTAACATGTGGACATCAGTTATGCACATTGAACTTACTTTGCCGATAACATACTGGCAACTGTCAACAGCAACGGAATGGCATACTACATCGGAAGGCGCGGCGGGCAGCACTTCCGGGCCATGGTGGTTTGGAGCTGACTCTGGACCCTCTATGCCAACTCCCGGCCGTTTCCCGAAGGGCGCTGACGTTGTCCCCTGGGTGGAGGTGCAGTCGGGCAGTACGCAATCAGATGTTCGGCACTCCCACAATGGTAACAGCGGCGCTGTTGTTGGGGTTGCTGCTGGGGTTGCTGCTGCGGTCGCTGCAAAGATGACAGAGCGGTTTCCAATCGTTCCATCCTTACTAATAAGGCATCCAAACGATCTTCCCTGGCAGCACAGACAGCCGCGGCCACTGGCTGAGACGCACTAGTAGTAGCGTCCGCTTGGAGTATGGCAAGTGCTCGAAGTCCTTGCTGCAGTGCCTGGTCAAGAGTTCGGGGGTCTTGGCGACGTACCTCCATGCGCAACTCTCTGCTGTCCAGACCTTCAATGAATTGGTCACATGCCAGCTGGTCCTGCACGAGGTTTGGCAAGGTAGGGTACGCTCTGCGAGACAATCGGCGAATCACCTCGCAGTAATCAGACAACGCCTCCTCACCTCGCTGTCGTCTGGCCTTCAATTCCGCTCTGTGGAGGTCGGTCCTGACGGGTGGAGCAAACCGACCCTCCAGAGCTACCAGTA